TTCCCAGTTCATTAAACTAGGTTCAAAGTTATAACTTCTTGCCAAGAATATTGCAATAACTTTCGAATTGTTTTTCCTGTTTCTAGTCTCTTGCATCTCCAATTCTTCCTGCACATAACTGTCAAAGTGAACTTCCCCTGAGATCTGTATCATTCTCCTTTCTCAAACATATTCAGTGGTTCCTTTTTGCCTTAATCTGGTATTTAAAGCTCTCCACAAACTAGTTCCCACCTCCCTTTTCAGCATAATTTCATATCAATCTTCTTTATGTATTATCTATTCCAGTCAAATGAGTTTACAAGCTGTTATCCATACACAATATTCCATCACTTATGTCCATGTGTCTTCCTAATGTGGAATATATTCTCTTCTCACATAGCTTCCTCCAAAACTCAACCCAAACGCCACCTCTGACATTCTAGATCTCCTGGATTTAGATTCTCCCTTTGCTAATATTCTCTCCCTTTTGAAATTACCTTATATTTATATACTTACATACTATAACCCTCTCCATCTTAGCATGAATGTAAGGTGCCTTAGGACAAAACCCTTTTGCTTTTCGTTTGTGATTGGGTGCTAATTATTTGTTAAATTGAATAATATGACTTCTGTTTCTGCCTTCAATATCTGTCTAAACACTCTACTCATCATGTTTTATTCTTTTAATTCCTGGATTCCATCATATGAAAATATGTTAATTTACTCTGATACTTATGATAGCAAATTTACCTCCTTATATTAGAGAGCTTCTAGTTCACTCTCCTTACTACTCAAACTTGGTTCGCAGAGGCCATAGATGACTGCAATCTCTTGGATTTGTCTATTATGAATCTGGGACACTTCCACTGTTATTCTCCCTTCTATAATGTAGCTACTACGCTGCATGGTATCTAGCACAGTGGACATACATGTCCAGTTTTCACCTCCTTCTTTCCTTTTCAGAGTAAAACAATTTTTTGAGGTTGAGGAGAAAATAGATTTTTAGCAGAATCAGTATGTTTTCCCTGTGACGTAGTGACAACCACTGTCTCAGATTGGTGCGGAGGGTGGACTGCAGCTGGCACTAATTTACTTGCTATAGTCCACTGTTAAACTTTCAGTGTGAGCATTTAAACATCAGAAATGAGCAATTACTACAAATCAGGGCTTGATTTACTGTTTCATTGATTTTCTAGACTTAAGAAAGTGTTAACAATGAATTTAAATATGTGTATCTGCATCTTCCCCTCCCCCAACATTTACCAGCACACCCCTGTATTGCTCTAGAAACACTGTCTGAGCTCAGTAGAAGTACAGTAGAATGCTCAGGGAATGAAGTCATCACCAAAGTGGAGGCCTGGTGACCACAGGCTAAAAATAATAACTGGCATTTATATACTGCTTTAAGGTTCGCAAAATGCTTTACATCCAATTACCTAAGTTGAGCCCTCACAACGTCCCAGAGAGGAGAGCGGGTGAAGTTATGGTAAATACAAAATTGAAAATGCAGGATAGAAAAAAAATGACTATTTAGGGGAGGGTGTAGGGTGTGCTTTCCATTATAGCAGGTTAAATGGAAGGAGGGAGAAACAGGTTGCCAATATGTGATTGTTTTATACAAGTCATTTTGCTATCTGCTTCAATTACCAGAAGCAGAGGATGGGGAAACATATTGTTATATTTGGAAGTACCAGCACACAGGTGATCAAATCTCGATGTAAAAGGGAATATTTCTTCACCTCCAGATTAGGAGAGGAGTAGAAAAGTATGTAAATAACGGGGAAGCAATAAGAAGTGAATTCCAGGTTTTCATCCTTCTCTTAAAGCTGGTTCTTCCATCAGTTCTTTTTAACAAATATGCTTATCAACTCATGTTTTTCCTTTTTCCATCAAAAGCTAAACTGTTTTTCAATCAAGCCTGATAAGCTTTTTCATAGCTGCAACTGGGAAAAGAGGAAAGGAAGACCAAAAAAGAAAACAGAGCTACATCAAAACTTGCTGGCAGTGTCTTTAAAGAAAGCCAGAGGCAAAAAGGGATTCCACCATCCTCTAAGTAACTTTGATATCTCCAACATAGGAGGCCCTGTAAACTTTCTGTTAACATCATTTCAAAGGGGGCTGTTGAGTCAGTCAAATTTTGACTAGGAAGTACAGAATTCTTCATTCCCAGCTAAACAGCATAAAACTAGAAAAGAAATAGATCATACTTTGGAGACAGGTACATCATTCACACACCATCCAGACATATGTTATTTACTAAAATTTTGCTCAAAATTGATAGTTAATGTTATAAGCTGAAGAAGAATTCTCCATATTTTGAATTGTGAAGTTCCAGATGCCTCAATTGCAGGGCATTAAGGTATCTAGGAAAGATTTTCTGCATATGTGGAGTATTTAAAGTAATAACCTACACTCAATCATCACCCAAATATAAAGTTGAAATGTAAAACTGCTGGGATTCTACAAGTCACTTCCAATAATATCAGAAAGTTTCATAAACCATTACATATCCAATATACTCAAGCTACAAGTGTTGGTTCAACACAAAAGGACAATAAGGGCAGGATTTTATATTACAAAGTCTATGAAATCAGAACATTATGATTTTACGGCATCATAAAAATCAGTGCATTTTTCTTGTCCAGAAAAAAGGATACTTTCATTTCTAAAAATATCTTAAATCTTCACAAGAAAGTCATAACACAATAAAATACCCTATTATCATAGAAAGCAAGTACAGGATGGTATTCCATGAGCAAAACAATAGAAATGTGGCATTGTCTGAGCAAAGGAAAAAAATTCTTCTGGAAAGGAGGGATAAGTAGAAGTCTTTCTCTAAACTTAATTGAAATGGTGAGCTTTCTGCATTGTCTTATTTGATATTCTCACTTTTAGTACAAAATAGACATATCCTTGAAAAGAGATTTTTCAGTTTGAAAAACTGTTCTCTGTGTTTGCTTTCAAGAGAAAATAATTAATTTTCAAAAAGAATATCTGAGGACCAGAACTTCACACTCAAGGATAAATGGCACAGTGGGTTTGGTTTTCCACTGTGTTCTTATTTATTTATTTATTTTCAAAAAGGCCTAAGAAAAAGATGAAGTCAAGACAACTGAATTTAACTACATGTAACACTATGGCCAAAAGCTGTAGGACTTTGCCTGTAATGAACTGGAGGCCCTCAGGAAACAGAAGTCGATTCATAAGGGTCTTGAGAAGCCTAGACAACAGGCACAACAAATTAAACAAAACTTATAGTGAAATATAAATGAATGAGTAAACAAATAATATGAACATCTTAGAAACTTAAATTATCAAATCTAAGTTACTTCTGATAATGAAAATGTATAATGAACTCAACTTCTGAATACAGATTTACAAGCACTGAAAATTCTCTATGTAAAAGAAAATAGTTAAGTTATATAGGAAAGTCTGTATTACTCATAGTATCTTTCATTCCCAAATCTGTCCATATTCAACATACTGCACTCTTTCCAAGTAAAATAAACATAGCAATTATATAGTATTTCAAAGCCTCTGAATAATTTAGGACTATGAAAATGACTATCCAGTAGAAATTATAGGGATAATTTAGACAGGCAATGTAATTTGGTTAGAACTTTGGTTACATATACACACACACACACACACACACACACACACACGCGCGCACACACACACACACACTCCTTTACTGTTACTTTCAGAGACCCTATTTTAATCCACTAAGATTAATGAGTAAAATTTCATATATAATAAAAACCAACAGGCCAATTAAGACCATGAAATATGCATTAAGTAATTTTAATTAAGTTAATTAAAAATTTCATAACTGCCTTAATTAAAAAAAAACTTACCTTTCTCAAGTATGATATATTCTATCTATTCCTTTGCTATTTTTAAAGATTTTATTCCATAGCTGTTTTACCATCTTATCCCCAAATACCATCCACTTAACCCTTCCTTGTAACAAAAATATTAAAGCAAAATCAGCTGATACATTTGATAATTTTCCCAAACAACTAACTATATATTTTTTCTCTTTTATTATTTTTTTTTTATTTTACAAAGATGAAAGTGAAGAATCAAGGAATAAAATTGAATATTGGTTCTTGGAAGGAGGAAGACCTCAATTCAGATTCTGCCTCTAGCAAACCTTAAGCAAGACACTTAACCTCTATGTGCCTGAGACCACCCCTAGAAGTTTTCTATTAAATCAGAAGCATGCTGCCACCCTAGAGCAAGTTGCCATATGAGGAATTCCACAAACCTACAGATAAAGAAGGAAAGAATGTAGAGAAGATTTGATTATTTGTGAACAAAAGGAAAGAACTTTGAGTTCTCTTAATTTTCTACTCAACTTCAAACCCAGACCTTTGAAATGCAATATTCATCCATGCATACAAATCATACCTTATAATTAAGATAACTGCTGCTACCAAATGTTGTTTTAAGTTTGTAATGAAAGTTTCCTAGACATTTGATGATATGTTATTTAGAAAATGAGAGTTCTACAATTTAAAGAATGAGAGGGACCGAAAATTAGGTCAGTGACAAGTATGACTGAGGGGACAGGGGCAGACTGAGTTCTTGTTAAGGCATTACAACTTCTATTGATTACAGAATTGAACTGAAAATACTCATGTCACCACACAAACATTTATTGAATTGGCAATGAACAAAGTACGATATTAAAAACCAGTATCACTATCAACACTCCTAAATAACATGGTTACACCAATTCTTGTACTTGTGCTGATCACAGTACAAGCTCGTGGCATGAAACTCTTTTGCTAAACAGGTGTATTCAGTTCAGCAGGTCTACAATTCAAACTATTCTAACAATTTTGGAGATTTAGTAAAAGACATGGAAAAGCGAAAGCTTACATATTGTACATTTTCTTTAGCCAAGCTGATCTATGCAGTGTTTCAGGTAGGTCACTAGAAACATCTATGAAGTTTTCAAATTAGTAATAACATAAGTGGAAAAACAAAACTATATAATTAACATACATCATTACCTTCATGGCATGAATTTCCTCAAGTAATCGCTGTGTTCGTCTTTGATTTTTGGATAATATATCTTCAGTACCCCTGTAGAAAACACATCATTATGTATGTAACAAAAATAAGCCATTTGTAGCATATATACATATTTACTAAAATATGGGAAATTCTGTTAAAAGTTAAAAGTACAATAAATCTTAAACACTAATGGAAAGACATAAATGAGGAATGATTAATTGTTGGGATGATTACTGAAGAAATAAAGAACATTTAAATACTGTAATTCATATAACCACCAGCAGAGGGCCTACTTTCTCTGTTTCCATGTTCTCTTGGTTTTTTAATCTAATTATCTCTATTGAATTTTCTCACAAAGATATGGGTATTAAAAACAATAACAACAACAAAACAAAATTGTTTTTCTATTAGTAGTCTGCAAATACTTTTAATAAACTTCCTTATTTGGTAAATAACAATTTATACATGACTGCACAAGTCTCTCCTATTTTTTGTTGAGAATTTTTCCTTTTATATTTCCAAAATACTTCTACTTAAGTTATAATAAAATTCATAATTAAAAATAAGCATATTGATGTGTTTATTTGAAATGAAAGTACTAAATATTGTAAAAAGACCATTAAGTAGTATTAGGCTTAAGTGTCAGCTCTAACATTTGCACAGGATCTTAGGCAAATCAATTAATCTCTCAAAGACTCAGTTTCTTCATAGATAAAATGGGTATAATACTTGTACACCTGCATCTCTTAGGGTTGTTGTAAATAAAGGGCTCTGATACACCTTCAAAACTACAGAAACATGAAATGTCATTAGGACACACTTCTTATGGGAGTAAAGCTGCATAAATATGGAACAGAGATGCAATAGGGGGGAAAAAAGCAAGTCTAATGTGGGAAGGTGTTATGAAAACAAAGAACAGTGTTTGAGAGAAGAAAGCACTGTAAATATAATTCTTCCAAAAACTAGTGACAGTGATAACATGGTACAACTTTTTGGCAATAAAATAAAAAAAAACAGCAGATCAAGTGAGATCTTACTTGTACAAATTCTTTAAAAAACTATAACACATAAATGTACAGGATTATTATTAAATGTTTTAAATTTCAAACTAATCTGTAGTTTCAATAAAAAATAAAACTAGAGTTGATCTTCAACATTCATGCCTTTTACTCTCAAGACTTCAAGCATCCCCATGATTGTATTAGTAACCTTATTTTCACTTTGGCTGGGCAAACCCATCACATTCTTGGCTATATGCAATAGAGACAGAATATCTAAGTATGATGTGGAAACCTCAGTCTTCTGAGCAAATGGGGAAGTTGCTAGCGGCTGCTCCTACCAGCTCAGCCTGAAGCTAAACTCTTCAGTACTCAGAGGGAATGAAGGAGAGAAGGAACAGGGCTATATGGCCTGGGGTGCTGAGCTAAGAGGGGAAGACCCTCTCCTTGGGAAGGTCTTGGTAAACACTGGCTCTACTCCCAGGACTGCTGAAGATCTTAAAGGGGCTGGAGATAGGGAAACATAGAACTGACCATGCTGGGATGCTGGACAACTAGGTTGAGTGACTAAAATCCTAGCAACCTCTTCCTTGGTTTTCAGAGGGCAGCTAAGGTAGAGAGGTTTACAGCAGTACAGTATATAGTACAATACCCCCCACACTTCCATCTAACACAGTGGAAAGTAAGATTCAGGTTAAAAAATGATTTAAATTTAAGAATTTTATTTGCTGCACAGTATTAATGGTACTATAGATTCCATGTGTTATGAAAAATGAGTATTGTCTGAAATCAATTTTTTAAGATTGAGATGTTAGCACAAAAGGTCACAGAATTCTAGGGAATTACTAGGGAAAAAATGTTTCACACGTTACTAATTTTATTTTGTGTCCTGCATTTTATGGGTTATTTCATGGTTACTGTGTTGGGAAAAGCACATATTATCAGAATTAATGTTTTATTATAAAGAATTTTATGCAGAAAAGTGTATTTTCAGCAATCTCTAGCAAAACATTACAGTTTTTGGTAGATGTGGGAAGCTAACCTTCTATTTCTCATAGGTTCAACGAATAAACATTTGTGTTTTTGACTTTCAGGACCATTTTCTAGAAATGTTACCTGACGGTACTTAAGGACTGACTATGTTAGGAGTGGGGAACCTGCAGCCTCAAGGCCACATGTGGGCCTCTAACTGAATCCAAACTTCACAGAATATTCAGCCAAAGGACCACACTTGAGGACCTAGGGGGCCACATGTGGCTTTGAGGCTACAGGTTCCCCACCCCTGGACTATATTATTCAAAGTAAACAACTGATTCAGGGTACCTGAACTTTAAAACTATAAAACTTTAAAAATACCATATTCAGTTGGTATAAAAGGAAATTTTTTGTTCAAGAATGAACGACAAATTACAGATAACTAGCCAAGAAAAAAAAAAGTTTCTACTTCTGTTCCATAGGAAACATAATACTTGTGGTCACTTAAAGGAAAACTGTGGAAAACTTTGACTACATGAATTCACAAAGAAATTACTAATTTGGTCCCAAACTCAAGAGAATAGGTTAATGAAACTCAATTAGGGCAACAATTATGTTCCCTATAGAAGTTAGCTGCTGAAACTCTTATTGTGGGCCTACCTCCTAACATAGTGAACAACGGAGAAAAATAATTCCTGATTTGTGACTAAGCGGTACATGATTATTAATAAAAATGACTAACTTTTTTGACTTCAGTTTGGTGATATGCCTGGTAAGCCTGCGAATAACCAAAACTCGAGTCCTCTTCACTTCTTTTCTCAACTTCACCACCTTTAGAATGAAATCAAAATGGAAGACAATTCAAGCACAAAAACACACTCATCTTAAGGCTAAGTAAAATATGTAGTATAACACATAAAAAATACTTGAATAAATTAATAAGATGATAAAATCAAGTTATTTCCATAAACATCAGTACAGTATGAAACCAACAGTCTAAAAATGTGTCTGAGGTCTGAGAACAAACAAGCTGCAAAAAAGTAAAACATTCCAAGCTAGTAATATTTCTAGATTATTCTTAAAGACAGGTTACTTGAGAATCTTTGAAATTTTTTTTCCTTTACTTATTATCCTAATCACAGTGAAATTACATGTGATTTTCTTTTAACAAAAAACAAACTAAAACAAAACAAAAACTTCTTTAATTCAGCTACATGGCTGAGGATAAAATAATGTAATACTTGTAAAGTGCATTTCAAACTTTAAAGTGCTATATAAGTACTATTATTACTTTCTTCTATGATAAAACATCTCTAATGTGTCAGCAAATAAGAATACCCTCTGCCTTTCTCTCCCAAATCAAAGAATCACAGAATTTCAGTGTTAGATAGGATCTCGCTGGCCATCTACACAACCTAATACCCAAATAAAAATCTTGTCTACGACACACTTCACAAGTATCCAGGAATAAGGCAACGAGGCCGTGCACCAGGATAGAAGCAGTGTGTGGAGGACCGGGTGGGGGGGGGGGGCAGAGGGGATGGTGAGAGATGATATGAAGGTCAAATCAAAAGGCCTTGGAGACAGATTTTCCATGGGGAGTGAGACAGAGTGAAGAGTAGGATGGCACCCAGGTTTCATGCCTGGGTGAATGGAGGGATGATGGTGCCCATGAAATTAAGAGATGGTTGAAAGAGAAGGAGGGCTTGAGAGGAAGATAATTAGTTTACTTTGTATATACTGAGTATAAAATGTCTATGAGATATTTATTTTGAGATGTCCAATAAGCAGTTGGAGATGAGAGATTCTGGAGATCAACAGAAAGGTTAGGGTCAGACAAAGAGGTTTGAAAATCATTAGTACACAGTTAACAGCCATGTTGTGCGATGACTAACTGATAGACTCAGCTCTTCTCAGCAATGCAAGGATGTAAGACATCTCCAAAAGTCTCATGATGGAAAATGCCATCCACATCCAGAGAAAGAACTAGGGAGTCTCAGTGCAGATTGAAGCATACTATTTGCTCTTTGTTTTTCTTCTGTTTGTTTTGTTTCTTCTTTCTCATGGTTTCTCCCATTAGTTCTAATTCTTCTTTACAACATGACTAATGTGAAAATATGTTTAATAGGAATGTATATGTAGAGCCTATATCAGATTGCATGCCGTCTTGGGGAGGGAGGTGAGAAGGGAGGGGGAGAAAATTTAAAACTCAAAAGCTTATGGAAGTGATTGTTGAAAACTAAAAACAAATTAATTAAAAAAAAAACAGAAAATCATTAGTACAGAGATCATAATTGAATCCACTAAGGCAGATGAGATCATCAAGTAACATGGTATAGAGGGAGAAGTGAAGAGGCCCGAGGCTCTTGAGCGTAGCGTCCCAAAAACTGGAAGACAAGAAAGAAGAGAGGAAGGAGAGAGGGTGGTTGGTAAGTGTCAATGGGGCAGCTTGGTGGCCCTGTAGATACAGTGCTGGGCCTGAAGTCAGGAAGACATGAGTTTAAATCCAGCCTCAGACACTTTGATAGAGGTGTGTTACCCTAGGCAAGTCACCTTACCTCGTTTTTTTTTTTTGCCTCAGTTTCCTTATCTGTAAAATGGGGATAATAATAGCACCTACCTTTCAGAATTGTTGTGAGGATCAAATGAGATAATAATTATAAATGCTCAGCACAATGTCTAGCATACAGCAATTGCTATAGAAACGCTAGTTGTTATAATTATTGTTATTATTAAAGGCTTCAAAGAGGTCATGAAGGATGGGGATTGAGAAAAAGCCATTAGATTTAGCAATTAAAAGGTTAGTAACTTTGAAAAAAGCAGTGGTTAAATGATAGAAGCCAGACTGTTCAGTGTTAAGAAAAGGTAAGGAAGTGGAAGCACCTACTATGGACAACCTTCTTAAGGTGCTTAGCCACAAAAGGCAGGAGTGATATGGGATATTAGCCAACTTGGATGGATGGATCATGTGAAAGTTTTTTGAAGATAGAAATATAAACATATTTGTAGGCAATGGGAACGGAGAGAGAGTAGAGAGGGAGGGAGAGAACAGGGATGTCAAAAGGGGCAATCTGCTGGAAAAGATGAGATAGAATGGGAACATTTGTGCCTGTAGAGGGATTTGCCTTGGTAAGGAGAAGGGCTACCTCTTCATGTGAGATGGGTAGAGGAAGAGATAGTGGGAGAAGGCTTCTGGGTGATGTGAGATGAGGAGGAGGGAAGAAGAGAGACTTCTCAGTGAAGAACCTCAATTTTTTTAGTAAAATATGAGGCAAGGTTCTCCATAGGGAAGGTGGGAAAGAGGGGAGCCATAGGAGATTTGAGATAGGATGGAAAAATGTGGAAATGCTGATGTGGAGAATGGGATAGTGAGTTGATTACGGAGGTGCAAATTAATTGCCCTGGAGCTGTGAGAACAAACTTAAGTTATATAAAATAAATCTGTACTGGATTGAGTGTCAGCATGTGTCAAAAGATAATATAAGTAACCTCAGTAACATGAAATTGACTATTGTACTAACAAAATCAATGCAACTAGGACAAGGGAATCTCTTGATTAGGGGAAAAAAAAATCTTTGTATCAATATCTCTGAAAAAGGTCTGATATCCAAGAACTAAACAGAGTTAAATAAGGCCAAAAGTAATTCCCCCAATTCATAACTGGCAAAAGGACACTTCTCAAGAGTTAACTGTAAGCTACTAGCAACCATATGAAAGACTGCTCCAAATTATGAATAACAAGAATAATATACATCCAAACCATGCCAATATTCTAATTTATAATCATAAAATTGGCAAAGAAGTCAAAAGTTGAGAATAATTCTGGAAGGCCAATGGAAAGACAGGCACACTGAAGCACTACTGGTAGAGCTATGAAGTGGTCTTAACATTCCGGACATTTGACACTGTGCTGAGAAAATGACTAAAATATTGACACCCTGTGGCAGGTGAAAGATGAAAGTACTGAGCATTTTTATTTCTTAAGCAATGCAACTCACTTGTCTAACACACTGCGTACAGGCCACACTGATTAGTGACAAGGACATGATCCTAGAGAGATGGGATGAACACTTCTATAATATTCTCAACAGACCATCATCAGTCAATGCTGAGGCCACTGACAGTTTACCTCAGGTTGAAGTCAATCCCTCCCTAGCTGAAGTTTCAACCAAAGAAGAGGTTTTTAATGCCATTAGACTCTTTTCATGTGGCAAAGCACCTGGTGCTGACTCTATTCCAGCTGAGATTTACAAGGTAGGGGTTCCATATAAAAGCTCATACAAAAGCTGACTGAAATTTTCCAGGTTATATGAGAAGAGGAGGTTATCCCCTAGGAGTTCAAGGATGCCTCCACCGTCCCATCTCTATAAAGTAAATGAAATACATTGTCCTATGACAATCACAGGGGGAACTCTCTTTTAGTCACTGCTGGCAAGATTCTTGCCAGAGTCCTCCTTAATAGGTTGATCCTTCACCTGGAAGATGATCATCTATTTGAATGTGGCTTCAGAAAGGGCTGAGGAATGGTTGATATGGTGCTTGCTGCCCGACAACTCCAGGAGAAATGCCGGGAGAGAACAGAGCTCTGTACAGAACATTTGTAGATCTGACCAAGGCCTTTGATACTGTCAATCATGAGGGCTTATGGAAAATTATGTCAAAATTTGGTTGCCTGGAGAAGTTCATCAGCTTATATATCAATTTCATGATGGCATGCTTGTCTGGGTTCTAGATGATGGACAATGCTCTCGTGCTTTCCTAGTCACCAGTGGAGTGAAACAAGGCTGTATGCTTGCTCCCATGTTTTTTAGCATTTTTTAGGCATGTTGTCAAATGCTTTCAATGAGGATAACCATGGCATCAAGGTTAGCAGCTGCACTGATGGTAAATTCTTCAACCTGAAAAGGCTACAAGCCAAGACCAAAGTGGAGAGAGTGTTGGTGCATGATTTTCTGTTTGCAGATGATTATGTACTCAATGCAGCCTCTGAAACTGCGGTGCCACAAAGTATGGATTGATTCTCTGCTGCCTGTGCTAATTTTAGCCTAATAACTAACACCAAGAAAACACAAGTGCTCCATCAGCCACCACCACAACACCTATACTTGGAACCATCGGTTACAGCAAATAGAGAAGTTTTGAATGCTGAGGATAAGTTCACTTACCTTGGTAGAGTACTTTCCAGGGATGTACACATTGATAATGAGATTGACGCATGCATTGCCAGAGCTAGCTCAGTGTTTAGGAGGCTCCAAAGGAAAGTATGGGAGAGAAGAGGTATGAGACTGACTACCAAACTCAAAGTCTACATAGCCATTGTGCTGACCTCATTGTTGTACGCCTGTGAAACCTGGACAGTATACCAGCGCCATGCCAGGAAACTGAATCACTTCCATTTGAATTATCTTAGGAAAATTCTGAAGATCATCTGGTAGGATAAGATACCAGACACTGAGGTTCTTTCTTGAACTAAACTGCCAAGCATTAAAACTCTGCTTCAGAGTGCACAACTCTGATGAGCTGGCCATGTTGTTCGAATGCAAAACATGCACTTACCAAAAAGACCATTTTATGGAGAACTCATGGAGGACAAGTGTTCCCATGATGGTCAGAAGAAGCGATACAAGGACACTCTCAAGGTCTCTCTTAAGAACTTTGGAACTGATTGTGTGACAGGGGAGACACTGGCACAGGACCACTCATCATGGTGTGCCCACATCAGAAAAGGTGCTCTGCTCTATGAGCAAAGCAGAATTGAAATAGCTCAAGAGAAAGGCAAGATGTGCAAACTTAGAGAATCCACCCCAAATGATCACATGGACTCTTCGTGC